CCCCAAAACCCCAAAACCCCAAAACCCCAAAACCCCGTTTGATAAATCAGGTATTGGAATCAGAAAAAAATATGAAAATTTAGAGAAATACATCATGGTCTCTCATATGCATCTGGGCGTAATATTCTTGTACTTTCTCCATCTCTAAAACTTCTTTCTCATCTTTAAGCTCTTTGATCTTTTTCTCAAGAGTGATCACATCTCAGAGTAAAGCTTTCTTCTTTGATTCAAGAAGGTGGACTTCTTCAGAAAGAGACTGAACATAATTAGGAGTATAAAATTGAGACTTATTCTCCCCTGCCTGCTCCATTGATTGTCTAGATTGGTCAGCCCAATCAGAATGGGTGGATGCTTACCTATCACTACCTAAAGTATCGCTAGCTTTTGAGTTCCTGGTGAGGTAATCTTTTAACATATCTAAGAAGTTACTGAAAATGCTTACTATTAGCTCTAGATTCCTTCACAGGTAACTCTGGGAGATCGTTAGAGTCAAGATCAAGGCATTTACCAAGACTGTAATCAGTACCTTTCTTCTCAGACTCCTTTTTATTCTTCTTGGCCTTCTCTCCTGAAACTTGCTTTAGATTCAGATTCAGCTTCGCTTGGGGAGAGATTCTAGGAAATGTCAGTATGAGAATTTGGCAAAAATATCTGTGATTGCTCTTTAAAATTTTCAGCAAAATATTGAGTTTGCTTACTTAAATTCCCAGCTCTTGTCCACAATCGGTGTTTTAAATCATCTCTTTTTTGAAATAGGGCTAGGATGTATTAAACCTGCTAAGATTACCTATTCAGGAGATACTTCTTCTTTCCCTTCTTCCTTTTCTTATTGCTTGGAATGGAAGATCTTTTGGCTGAGATTTTCCTAATTTTCATCCATATTTTCTCCAGATTTCCTTTCTTGTCCTTCACCTAGACCTATCAGGAGATGCAATACCTGGTAGTCTCAGACCCGGCTGGTGCTATTAATCGAGGGGTTCTTCGAATGCATGGAAGTATGATGTGAATGCAACTTCTCATTTTGGGTGACACTAATACTTCCTCCGATCCTATAATGCGAAGTAAATATTTGTATAATTGTTCAGACAGAAGATGGCTTACTTTTTCACTTTCTTCCGCTTAAGAATTTTCTTATTCCTTTCAGTATTTGAACCATCCAGCTTATTTAGTCTTCAGGTGAGGTCTCTCATCAGTTGTATTATAAGGCTCTTGGTTTAGGGTAAACTCAATTGTTTTAGGAGAGGTCTTGGTATTGCTAGGGTTCTTGCTTAATCTTGTACTGTCCACTTCTGGGCTAAATGCTACAATATCCAACGTCTCTTTGATAGAGATTGACCGATTATGGGTCTTGTACACACTCTGTATCCTTGGGACTGTAGCCTTCTCACTTAGAGAGGTGTTCACAGACTTATTCGGGATGAAATTAAAATTGCCTTTTGGCTTTGGCCCCTTAATTTTTGCTTGATCCTTCTTGATATACTTTCCTGACTATACCTCAGAAGCTTAATTGCAGCTCAGAATTGCAGTTTTTAGAAAATTTAGTGATAAATTATTAGAGAAATAAATCTATTGCCGAATTGGACGTAAAGAAAAGCGCAATCTCAAGTTTTGCTACAGGATAAAATGACTTACTGTAACTTTCTTCTTTGGTTTAACATATCAGTTCCTACCTCTATTTTCAACCTGGGTCTCCCCTGGTAGTTTATTTTGTTTGATCATATTGGTTTTCTATAGTGATAATTAGAGCTCCTCTTACCCTTCTTAAAATTTAATTTCAATATTTTTATTACAATTTGGGGTTTTGGGGTTTTGGGGTTTTGGGGTTTTGGGG